ACTTCCTTGTGCAATCCTTGTGAATTCAGTGCTACAAAAAAGGAAAAAGAAAAATATAGTATCTTCCTGGGTTGATCAGAAGCTGCTTTTTAAAAAACACTACCTTTTGAGTAGCCGATTCTGTCCCTGCCCCCACCCATTTGCCATCTGAGCATTTTCCTCCACTTCAAGCACATCTTCTGCAGGATCCATTTGCCCCCTCTCCTATCAGAATAGTACTGAGTTTTAAAAGAAGCCCTTCTTCACTTTATATTACCTTTAACCCCACTAGCCTACAAGGTAAGCTGTATATGTGTGTGCTTTTGTGTACAGAGTTGTGCTTCATGGTTTTGTAATACACTTCAAAATCAAAGCAATAAAAAAACAGTTTCAAAGGTGAAGGTTCCCCCTGCCACAAATTGACACAAGGATATCAATCATGTGCAGAAATCAGTTGTTTGCATATATTCCCAGCAGCTATGCCTAACTTTGCAACAGATTTTTAGTTTTTCCTCTCCTCAGAGTTTAGTTGGGCAGCATGCCTATTTTCTATCCAATTTTTTTTTTTGTGTGTGGACACTTTCTAGTCCTATTTTAGATAAGGAAAATCACCCAAATATCATCAGTGCTAGAAAATAAAATTATCTGACCTTCCTTTCCCTTTCTTCTTTTTTCACTTACAATGCTGAGGCAACATCATTCACTGCCTGGCACTATCTGGCTTCCCTTATGCTGCCCTCTTCTTGTGTAGAGTTTTGGGTGGTATTCGCTGACCTCCACAAGGCTGCAAAAAGAAATGAATCTGAACCATCCAAACTGCTGTCCTTGAGCAGCCAGAAGACCATCAGAATTACTCACTAAACTCCCTCATGATGCTACAGGAGAACCTTCAGTCTGCCAATAATTCATACTCATGAATTCATGGCTTAAAAAGATGACACATGGGTCATGAACACTCTTTTAATAGAGAAAGTCTGCTTTCAGACATGCCTTATCTCTGTAGCACATCATATTTACTTTGCTTTTGTTGGAACTGTTGCCTAATTAAAGAAACCCGACATGACAAATTGTATGGATTTTTGAAGCAAGCTTAAATCCACTTCATTTGGAAAGAAATGCCAATGAACTCAATGCAGATTTCTGAATAACGTGCAGATGAGTGCGCATTTAATCAAATCATCATAAAAACTGCACATTGCAAACTATAAAGAATTTTGAAAATATTTTGTTCTGTTTTTAATGATGGATTATCCTATCTCCCAGACATAAGATTCCTCAAAAACAATATTGCTCTCATTGGATGTTATAAGATTGGGAAACATTGGAAGTCGTCTTCTGACTTCCTCTCACCCCATAATCAGAGATGGGTCTCGACTAGAAAGATGGATTTTTAAAACATCAGTTTCTGAATTTTTAAAGAAAACTCCCAAATAGTTCCAACAAATGTTCTTAAAATTCAATGCCTTCGGGGAGGGGGGGTGGAGAAGATAAGGAATATGTTTTTCAAATCTACATAAAATCTAATTGCATCCCACTCATTAACATTTTTTCATGTCATTTCTAGACAGTCATGTATAGGGTATATTTTAAAGCATTTTAAATCCCTTTAATAAACATTGACAAAAAGAATAATTATGTTTATAAACACAAAAATATGTCTCTGTGTTTCAAGATTGAGCCAAATATTAGGATTCCAATGATGATTTAATACCGGTACTGATTGAATATCAATAATTGTTTTAATAAAGTGCCAATGAAACAAAAACCTCTTTGCATTTTTCAAATGAGAAATTAACTGTTCTAGAAATATGTAATGTAGAATTTAATAAGAGGAAGATGCAATATAGAAAATGCTAATATTGTATTTTATTTTTTTAAATATAATGAAATGTTTGTTAAACTTTTAAAAAAACCTTAACAATTGGACTTCATTTATAATTCCTGAAGCCTAGACATTCTGTGTAACAAAATACAGCATTATATTATATCATTGCTTCCTTATTTCTTTCCTTATTTGAAGAAACTAGCCTAATTGCTGTCTGTCACTGACATGCATTTTGTCACCATGCATTAAGTTGAGCTTCACAACATCAAAGGAATCAACTGTATTCATAATTAGAAGTAAAAGGATTGCAAAATAGCAGGCCTTGTTAAAAAACAACAGCCACACAACTGAAGGAAAGTACAAAGTATGTTGCACAATTTAACATAGAAAATGTAACACTACAATGGCCTTATAACATGAACTTTTTATATAATTTCCTTTTATCAAATTTGACATTTTGAGTGCTCTAAGCAACACAGACTATTGTGCATGATATGATACATGACCCATGTAAAATGTGTTGTTAAGGAAATGGAGTAGAAGTAAAAATCGGGGGGGGGGGGGAGAGAAATATTGTATGAAAACAGGATAAGCAAAAATTGCTTCCTTGTGAGATGTTGGAAAATAAGAATATAGACTTAAGGAAGCGGTAATATGATCAATGTTTGTGATTATGTTCAGTACTTCAAAAGCATATTTAAGATCATAAGATGCTTCAAACCTGTATTTACTTAGAATGTTAATTAGCTATAAAAACTTTGTTTTGCTGTGATAGTTTTATGTCAAGATTCATGTATCTTCACTTTGTCTTAGTACTTCAGATCAGTGTTTGGCTGGATAGGTATACATACAATAAATATTTAGTTTTGCTGTCTGCTTGATGGAGAAGCCCTTGATGAATTTATACCTGGTACTTTTCTGCAAGGGAGAGTTCTTTCCAACATGCCTTCTACTATAAATTGGTGAAGCAAAAATTCAACAGATCTATAATTCTCCCTAATCCCTTCCTACATTTTCTCTCAGCAGCTTTAACCAGCATAGCTAATAGTGAGAGATCTGAGAAAGACAGCTTAACAACTTCTGAAACGCCACAGGTTACATATCCACGCTCAGAAGGAAAGGAATACAAAATCATTTCTGCCTTGGAAACTATTATTATTATCCCTTCATAAGTGGATCACTGCATTCCTGTCAAACAGGCAATAAATAGTAAAAATAGGGAGTGCTATATCAAACCCTGCTCCAGTTAACAGCGGTGTCCCCCAAGGCAGCGTTCTAGGACCCACCCTCTTTATACTCTATATAAATGGCCTTTCCGATCACCTTATAAGCAACTGTGTCCTCTTTGCGGATGACATAAAACTATTCAACACCACCAACAATGCTACTATCCTTCAAAGCGACCTTGATTATGTGTCAGAATGGTCAAACATCTGGCAACTCCAAATCTCGACCAACAAATGCTCTGTCCTACACATTGGTAAAAAAAATCAGTACACCAAATACAAACTAGGTGGATATGACCTCGTTGATGATCCTCACTCTGTCAAGGACCTTGGAGTTCTCATAACAAATGACCTAAGCGCCAGAGCTCACTGTAACAGCATTGCCAAAAAGGCATTAAGAGTTGTAAATCTAATCTTACAAAGCTTCTCCTCCGGAAATATCGAATTGCTAACTAGAACATACAAAACTTTTGCCAGACCAATACTCGAATACAGCTCATCGGTCTGGAATCCACACTGCATATCGGACATTAATACAATCGAGTGAGTCCAGAAGTATTTCACAAGAAGAGTACTACACTCCTCTGCTCACAACAGAATACCCTATATCACCAGGCTTGAGATTTTGGGCTTGGACAACCTTGAACTACACTGCCTACAGTTAGACTTAAGTGTATCACACAAAATTATCTGCTACAATGTCCTACCAGTCAATGACTACTTCAGCTTCAACCACAACAATACAACAGCACACAACAGATACAAACTCAATGTAAACCACTTCAAACTCGATTGCAGAAAGTACGACTTCAGCAACAGAGTGGTCAATGCCTGGAATGCATTACCTGACTCTGTTGTTACATCCTCTAACCTCCACTCTTTTAACCTCAAACTATCCACTATTGACCTCATCCCATTCCTAAGAGGTCTGTAAGGGGCGTGCATAAGGGCACCATCGTGCCTACCGTGCCTACCATCCCTGTCCTATTGTCCCCATTTATTTGTACCTATTTCCTGTATTCTTACTCATGTTTATACTTATACCTATTATCTTGTAAGCGATTGACAAATCAAATAAATAAAATAAAATAAGGAAAGGAATACAAAATCATTTCTGCCTTAGAAACTATTATTAGAGAAGAGTTAATATAAAAGAATTATTTACCATGTGTTGGGAAGAAGGACTTAATTGTGTAAAATTAAAATGCCACATAAAGACACTGTGATTCTACTCAGTAAAAGGGAAAGATGCATTGATTCTCAAAAACAATTAGAAATTCTAAATATATAAATAGCTGAAAAATCATTTTGCAGGTTACAACTGAAAGACATCTATCATTAAAGTTTGTTTAACTAAATAAAACTTAAAGAAGAGAAAAACATTAAAAACATGAAACTAGTATTAGTATTAATCATGGAATTGTTTTTAAAAACAAATAAAAGAATGCGAAAAACCTGATCCATATGACAGTACAGATACAGGTGCTTCAAATCAATTTATAATACTGCTGGACCTGATAAAGAACTTTTGTGATAGAATTTTTGTGATTGCTTTGATTCTTAAGAGTCAGTTCAGTCATCGGAATTTCTAGTTTTCACATGTGAAAACAGTTTCTGAGAAAAATGCTCCCTTCTCTTCCTTTTGGAATCTCTTGAGTCATCTTTCTCTCATGAAGTCTTCTGCAAAATTAAAGAAAAAAATATTAAGATATATCAAGTGGATGGCTCCTAGGGATGCCAATCAAAACATATAGTCATTCTCACCATGCACATGTGTGTAAAGGCAAAAAATGAGAAAAGCAATTGCAAAAACTCAGGGAAATTATAAGTAAAAGCCAATGGTATCTGAAGCTCCATGAAATTCTGTGGCTGAGATACAGTGATTACATGGTAAAGCAATGAAAACTTTTTTTCAGTGTAACTAAGAATCTGCTTTTTACACCTGTCTTTTTTTTCCTCCCTATTTGAAGGTTGTCAGAGTTGCATTGGCTTAAGCAGTGGGAAAGCAAAGGTATGCAACTACAGTGGGTGGTATTACTGCAACCTCTGTCACGTTGATGATACCTTTCTAATTCCTGCACGACTAGTTCATAACTGGGATACTTCAAAATACAAGGTAAAAGTACATACATGCTGACAATAGTACAAGTTCTTGCTCCCTGATTATAGTGTGGAATATGGTCACATGCTGCCCAATAGGAAAACATTGTCCGTCAATCAATCAGTATTTTGTGACCATGTGTTATTATGTTGCATAAAACCATGAAAAAGGAAAAGAAAAGTAATAATTTAAGAGGGAGGGGGAAAATATCAACAAATAAAAAGGCATGCACAGAATTAGGTTAAGATGGAACCAATACTAAAACTGAGAGCTTAACCATTTCTTTGAGTTTAATGTTGCAAAGGTAGCATCCTGACTATTAACAGCTGTAATCACATCTGCAAGGAGGTAGAATAGTTGTTCAGCTATTGATGCTCACACGGCTAAGGCCAAGAGGGAGGAAATATAACTCCATGATAAAAACAGGAGTTTGTCTCATTCATTTCCCCTCATGTAATGCAAATAAAACAGTTTTACAAAGTGGGAATCTTGGAGGTTTTCTGATTTCCAGTACCTTACCAGTGCCAGATGAATTCTAATGAAGATTAAAGATAACTCCAGTTCTGTCCTAATGACAATCTGGCCAAGTTGAAAGCCCAAGCAAAATACATGTGGATAGGTGAATGTCCCGAAGCACACAAGTTTCACAACCTCCAGTAGAAAGCCTCAGTTGCACACATGAATAAACATTAGAATCCCAATTAGCATGCATCCCATACAACTACTGTAGTGTCCATCAGCTGGGCGATAGTTGTGGTTGTTATGGTTGTTGAGAATATCCAAAGGTGGCAGCAAAACCTTTGTTTATGTTGTGGCCTCATTGTCATTGTCCTCAAAAAAGCTCTAAAAGTTGTGCAAAGGACAGCTGGCAGGAAACTGGACACTTCTTGCCAATCTGGGGACTGAGTTCAGGGGTGAAGTAGAAGAGCTGAAACCATTCATTAGCTTACCCACCTGTAGAGAATGAGGCAAGAGTGACAGAGACATAGAGGAGCCATGATCTAGACAAAAGAGGCTGAAACATTTTTTAAGTTCAGGCCAACAACACAATTTCTAGAAGTAGTTCAGGCAGATGCCTCCCTAATCCACTAAAGTATAAGAAAAAAGTTTTCTGTTAACAATTCTGTAAGAGAGCCAATGTGTTGGATTAGGAGCCAGGAGATCCTGGTTCTGGTTCATAAATTGTAGTTGCTCTTTAAACCAAACAGGCACTCTAAGCCCAACCTAATTTCACATATTGTTCCTGTGGGAAAAAATAGGAGGGAGAACTATGTATGTTGTCTTGAGCTCCTGGATGAAAGGTGGAATATAAATCTAACAAATAGAGAATTTGTCTCTGATTCGGGATCTGGCTTCAAGCCATAGTCCTGGCATCTAACTTTCAAGCATTTATCCTAACATAGCTTAGTATGATTATTCCTATATTATAATTTTAGCTTCTTGGGTTAAATATGGTGATATAAAAGTGTAGCACACAAAAGAACAAATAGATTATTTAAATATTTATACTATTTAAATATCAAGTGCTACTTAATATTATAAAGAAAAGGGAACAGAAGATGTCTAGCAAACAGGTATTTTTGTTCTTGAATATCTTACAGATTTTGGCAAGATCTTAGATGTATGCATCCAAAAAAAGAAAAGAAACAAAAATGGCTCCAAAAATATCAAAAACAACAAATGTTACTAAATTCTCTTTGCTATTGCAAATAATAATAACTTTTATAATAGTGTATTTTACTAAGTTTGAATGGTCAGTTCCCTACTAGTGTTTCAGCATCATTCCAACTTTCGGAACATTCCACTAATTGAATTTTGTTTCTTTGAAATGCTGAACACCAGAATTTAGTTTATATCTACATTACAGCATCTTTGGAGCGCTTTTTTAATAAATAAGATTACAGTATGTCTTATCATAACACAAATAACGCTAGCATAATGCCACTAAGAGAGTGATGTACTGATTGCATCTGAACAGTTAAAGATTTATTAGAAGATAAGCTTCATGGATTTCCCCCTTTTAGGTATCAAAGCAAGCCAAAGAATTCCTGGAATATGTTTATGAAGAGCCCCTGATTGACATTCAGAGAGAAAATCCCATATTGTACAGGCATGTTGAGCCATTGGCAAGTGTGGCCCGTCTGAGACAGCAACTGAAATCCCTCCGAGCCTATTTATTCAGCTGCAGAGCAGCAGTGGCTGAAGACCTGCGAAGAAGGTAAGACAGAAGAACTGTCAAGAACTAGCTTCCTTGGGGGCATCTTTCTTTCTTTGGCCATTCTTACTCTTCCTTTCTTTAGTTCCCATAGCCCAGCCATTAAAGTGTAGCCCATTGTGTCTGCCTCCGAAGGGTAACTGGATACTTTCAGTGCACACTGGATGGTTTACTGGCCGGATGGATCTATCTATCTATCTATCTATCTATCTATCTATCTATCTATCTATCTATCTATCTATCTATCTCAAAGTACAATTGCATATCATCACATTCCAACTATGTAGATTATACAGCTGAAGCATTTGAAAAACTGATCTGTTCGCTGTTAGATTAATATACTAACCAATTCAGCACTGGGAGCACAGTCTTGCTGCTTGAGAATTTTCTACACTGAAAATGAAATGCCAGAGTAGATATAGGTCACCGCATAAAAGAAAATTAAAGGATTCTTATGATTGTGATTAATGCTGGAAGAGCAGCAGTAAATTTAATTCAATCATCAATGAAACGAAACAAAACAAAATTCAGCTGTTTTTGGCATCCTAAACAAATACGGTGAAAGTTCTGGGCTCGGAAGCACTTTTCTTCATTTCTTCTGTCACTCTCTTATCTATCACTTTAACAACAGCTCCTGCTATAAGGAAGGAGTGAAGCCAGACCTGCTTTTCAAATGATGAGGTGCCTAGGCAGAACATGGCTTCCAATCTCTGAAAATACGGAGACTGAGAATGGGATTTCGTCTGTCATCAGGAGCCTACAGAAAGTACTAAGCCCCAAATGTTCCCCATTCACTTTATCTTGCCTGGGATCTGTTGAGAGAACGAGGGCCGGATAAAATAGGGAGTACTCAGTCCTTGGCTATCATCACTGTGGTGGGTGATAGGAGCCATGGTGGCACAGTGATTAGAATGCAGTATTGCAGGCTGACTCTGCCAGCAATTTGACCCTGACCGGCTCAAAGTCGACTCGGCCTTCATCCTTCTAAGGTCAGTAAAATGAAGACCCAGATTGTTGGGGCAATATGCTGACTCTGTAAACTGCTGTAAAACACTATGAAGCAGAATATAAGTCTTAAGTGCTATTGCTATCATCCATGTCCCCATTACTCTGCGCGTTGGTGGAAAGGGTGTGTGCGTGTGTGTCTTTGTGTGCATACCCCCACGCATGTTTGCTTTCGCATCTTCATCCATGAAATCCAAAGGAAATCATTTTGGCTGTTTAGGAGTTAACCTTGATTGATGTCATGATTAACAATGTCAAAAACCAATAAAAGTATTAATGTTACTGAAGTGCCCAAACTTAATAGCTACATTCCTGTTATAAATGCATTTGCATCATCTCTATTTGGAACTGTGAAACAAAGGAAGTTGAAAATCTCTGCAGTTGAAGAAGGCACTTGTGATTAATATAGTTTGTGATATTTTCTTAATATCATATAAGAGTATCCTTGCTTTTCCCTATCTTACTTTTAAAGACTTCCTTCATTTGTAACACTGGCTATAATATCTCCTTCAATTAGTATGAGATTGAAAGCCGGATGCTTTATGAGAGATTCAGTTCAGAAAAGGCATCAGAGAAAGAGATTACAAGCTTTTGATTAACAGCAAAGCAAAAAAAAGAGTGTTTGATTAAAATAAAGAGGCAGGGAGGGCCAAGGCAAGTCAATGAAGAGAACATAAAAGAAGAGATCAAAGGAAGCAGAAAGAGAAAAGCAACTGGGCTCGAAGACATGGGGCAAAAGGGAGAGGGGAATGAGGATACTAGCAGAGGCACCAAGAGCCAGTGCTGATGGGAAAAGGTGATAGAAAAGGGTACAGAGGAAGCTGTGAAGAGGCATTCAAGGTAGCACAGGAACAAAAGCAAACCTGAGAAAATAAGAAGCATTGCAAATGACAAAGAAGGAAACAAAGGGGGCTTAGAGACTAAAGCAGCTGAGTGAGCGTGGTGTAGAAAATGAAGAGGATAAAGTTAGGACATAGATTGGAAATAATGCAGAGAGCTAAAATGTTGGATTACTATTAAACTTGGTAAAAAGTTACATTAAGCTTATCATTTGGGGGAAAGACGTTAACATGGGCGTGTGTACACCTGCAGGAGGTGATTGAGGAAGTAACAATGAAGATGAAAAACAAATTTTATTGTAGACTAAATAATGTCTATAAAAGACTTATGTTTGAACAACAGTACAAAGTTTAATTTTGTCTCTTAATTCAGATAAACTGTAATTGACCTTGGACTTAAAAAGCCATCTGGGTTGGTATACTATCTGGTTTGAACCTTATAACTTATCAGCATGAGTGCCACTAGAACTTCAGTTCTTTCTTTTACACTGTAGTCCCCAGACAAATGATACTCAATTTCCTTTCTCCCTCCTTCCTGGTGGCATATGTCTGCTTGTCTTTCTGTTTGTCCATTCTAGGTTTTTTTGCACCATTCTAGTTTATGTTTTGCAAACAAAAGAACATTTAGCAATTATTGACCATATTATTTAAATTTCATAGTTTTCCTTAAAATACTTTACTTTTTGCTACTTGTTCTTGAGTAGATTTGTGAATTTCCAGCTATTCTGAAAACATTGTTATTATGTTAAACTTTCATAAAGCAAAGTGTAGCAAACTATGAACAGTGCACTGCAAGGAGGACTGAATATAGGGTGATTGATCTTAAAGGAAGTCTATTATAGTATAGCTCAGGTTTGTCAAACTTGATTTCATTGTGGCCACATCAGGATTGTGTTTGACCTCGGAGGGTTGGGGGGGGGCAGTTCAGTGTCACTTGTGTCAGGGGTACTTCTGGTGGCCCGAGCATTCTGCCAGAGAAAATGGACTTCCGAACTCCATTTTCGGCTGCGACGGCCTCCTGCAACTCTCTGCCAGTGAAAAGACAGGGCCACATTGGACCACACACCAGTCATTTACTGTTTCCAGGGTAGCCCCGCAGATTTAAGCATGGATCCGGCCCGTGGGCCTTGAGTTTGACACCCCTGGTATAGATAGCCTTATGAGGAAAAGCAAAGAAATAGCTGTAGCTTTTCATCCATGCTTGTTTTAAAACATGCAAGGTATTTCCAAAAGTATGGCAAAATGGGTGCCCTGCTGTATGCTAAAATTTCTGGTTTGGGGAATTTTCTTTTGGTGTGCATATGTAATGTATGTATGAGGGATCCCCAGTGCTCTCTCAGCTTGGTTGTTCATGATGTTACCTAGTTTGGGTAATGAAACATCTGCAAGAAAACAACCACACTCAGAGACTCCTCATTTCAACCCTTAGATACAAATATTCTCCTTTATTGATATATGTATGTAAAAAAATTCCATCAGCATATATATAGCTAACAGATCTATGGACATATAGAATATTAATTGATAGAAAACTGATTTTGAGCTTCACAAACTATGAAGAAAAACTCTCATAGAAGTTGTTGGTTTGGGGAAAAGTGGAATATAATAACTCATGTATATGCCAAAACAGATTTCTGTCACCTAATATGTAGGCTGAAGGTATAAACATATTTGAGGGTATATCTCTTAAAACAAAAGTGCACCTTTGACAAAAAGATTTTTCTTGAACTCCAGATGCTCAATTGTTACCATTTTTTGGTACCAGATTCTTGGTGATTGCTTGCACAAGTCCATGCCATATTCTTGCAATATTTTACAACACACCAAAAATAAGGGGGGGTTGGGCTACCAAATTGGGAGCTGTATTACTAGGCCTCAGTGCTCACATGGTTGAAAGAGTGGATAAATTTGAAGAACAAAAGAATATTTACATTAGAAGGTCACGACTTACAATTGGGATGGCATGCATTTATGTGGCATGGGAAAAGTAAATACATAGATACTTCCAAAGGCACTATACGAGGAATGGTCTGCTTTCAGTATGGGAAAGAATCAAACAGAATCATTACATGAAAATACTGGTCTGGCTATCCATGATGGAAGCGCTAATACATCCAAATGTTCTTGAACTGGAAAAAATTGTAAGGTATAAAGATATCCTAAACGAACAAGACTTAAAATCAAAACAGGACCTAAAAAAATTAGGGAATCGATTTAACCTGGTGACCACATAGTCAAATACAAAAAAGACACAAGAAAGATGCACAAATATATGGATTATATAAAGAACCCCTAGAATTAGATCAAATATTTCTAGGGACAGATGATAAATTAATAAAGAAAATACATAATTACCTATTGAACTTTAAAATGGAAGAAGAAAAAGAAAAAATGTAAAAGAAACTATGATAGTATGGGCCAAAAATTTTGGATATACTATAGAATTAGACAATTGGCAAAAACTTTGGGAAAGAAACTACAAACTAACGATGTCAACAACATACAAAGAAAACTTTTACAAAATGTTCAACAGATGGCATTTGCCACCAGCAAGAATGGCAAAGATGTTCCAAAACATATTTCCAGAATGCTGGAAATATAAACAGGTACCGGGTCCTATTACCAGGAATGGGATTGGGCTGGTTTGGGCGAACCGGATGTTAATTTTACATCCAGGTTGGTGAATTGGTAGTTCCGAAGAGTAGCTGTCTGGCACCGCCCCTCCCCCAGACTCCATTTTTGCTCCCAGGAGGCTCAAGGGAGGCTTTCTAGGCCAAAAATGGGGCATGGCGGGTCCAGCACTGCCCCCCAGTTTTGCTCCCAGGAGGCTCCAGGAAAGCTTTCTAGGCTGAAAACAGTGTGTGTGGGGTCCATACTGCCCCCACCTCCATTTTTGCTCCCAGGTGGCTCCAGGGAGGCTCTCTAGGCTGAAAACGCCCCCCTGCACCCCAAAATGGGGCATAGCAAGCCTCCCTAGAGCCTCCTGGGAGCATCCAGCCATCCAGTATGCCTGGATTCAATATTTAGCCAAAAGAACAGTTGGAGCTAATACAGTATTGGTTACTGCCTTGGGAATGTTCTAGGTAAACAAAGCTATGCAGTCTCCTAAAACTATTGGAGCCAATCTTCTTTCTTTATTCCATATCCTCTTCTTCAAAA